GATGGGTGCTATTTAATCTAATGTCTTCACTTACTTTATCAAAATTCAAAAATTACGGTAGAAAACAGTAGAATAACTTATTCCCTAACTCTTATTTTTATTTCATGTCATGTTATTTGGTTTTATTTTTTCTTCTGTCGCTCTGCTTTTCATGCTATTTCCTTGTTTGCTATTAAAAGAACACATATAAGGTGAAAGCACTCTACTTCCTTATGGAAAACTGCTGTTTAAAAAAAACAGCACCAAAAAACAAAACAAAGCAGTGCTTTTATAGAGCCCTAATTTACATATTGTTCACCTCTAAGGTCTCCTCTTCAGTTAAATCAATTAAATAATAAAATACAGTGATCGAATTGCTAACCTTAAACTTTTTAATAGTCAATATAAAAAAATACTTTTTTATTTTATTTGCTTTGAGCTTCAATAGTATAGTTGGCACTCATTGCTAAAAGGACTAATTTTTGTCTTGTCAGCTTCCAAGGGCTGCAGCATAGCTGTTGTTAAAAACAGTTGTATCCATCAAATAACCAGAAAAACAAATAACAATATATAAGTAACTTTATAGGGCTGAGTATGCCATTGAACATATAAAATAAAACAAATTAGACATGATGTAATCAAGCAGATAATATAAGTCATTTTCAAATACAATTATTTTAAAGGATGAAATAAAACATTTTAAAAGACATACAAGGATTTCATGATTAAAAACATTACAAAGTATTTCCAATTAGAATATTGTTTTCTGTATATTCAAAGGACCTCCCTATGATACAGCAGACTGAGCAGGTAGAGGGGGACCTTCAGAAGAATGAAGAAATCAAGAAATCTCACTTTAAAGTGAACTATCTCTGTATGTATGTCTGTCTGTGTGTGTGTGTGTGTGTGTGTGTGTGTCTGTCTGTCTTTCTGTCTGTATATCTATCTGTCTGTCTATGGTATAACAAAGCCAAAACAAATTAATACACCTCTTTTTACGGCCAGCTTTCGGTCTTGATACACAGCATCTCATTACCCACATCTTTTCTTTAAACAGACAAAATTAAACCTTCTCAGTATATCTTTTTTTAAACCATTGATGGATGGATGGATGGATGGATGGATGGATGGATGGATGGATGGATGGATGGATGGATGGATGGATGGATGGATGGATGGCTGCTATTTAATCTAATTCCTTCACTTACTTTATCACAAAGCACACTTTAAGGTAGGAAAAAGTAGAATAACTTATTCCCTAACTCTTTTTTTTTTTTCATGTTGTGTTGTTTGGTTATATTTTTTCTTCTGTCGCTCTGCTTTTCATGCTATTTCCTTGTTTGCTATTAACAGAAAACATATGAGGTGAGAGCACTCTACTTCCTTATGGAAAACTGCTGTTTAAAAAACAAAACAAAGCAGTGCTTTTATACTGTAGAGCCCTAATTTACATGTTGTTTACCTCTAACGTCTCCTCTTCAGTTACATTACTTGAATAATAAAATACAATTATCAAATTGTGAATCTTAAACATTTTTAAATGCCAATATAACAAACCACTTGTTCAAAGTTTAGAGGTATGATTTCTTAACTTAATGAAATATCTAAGAAAAAAGATGTGATCTAAAGGGGGTGTGAAAACAACCAAAAACATCAGACCTTTTTTTTTTTTATTTTGCTATGCAAATGTGTTATGTACAACTTTTTGAAACCAAAGAATGTAAAAAATTATATTTGGATAAATATTATGATCTAGTGTTTTGTTATTTAGTAATTAAGTACTCTGTATCCTAACATTTTATTTGCTTTGAGCTTCAATACTATAGTTGGCACTCATTGCTAAAAGGAGCTGCAGTATAGCTGTTGTTAAA